TCTGCCCGGGGGCTGGGAATCGAACCCGGGTCGCAGCGGTGAGAGTGCTGCACCCTAACCACTAGACCACCAGGGGCCTACCCTAAGCCACTGATAGGTTATGCCTAAAAACACAAAAATCTTCAGCTCTGCAAGAACAACTCCTGTCCTCAGGCAGCTTTTGGATCAAGAGCTTTCAAGGACCTAGAACTTTTGGCTCAGCAGCAAAAGAAATCACCCAAATTGCTACCAGAGTGACTTCACACCTTAAAGAATTATGGGGACACCAGGAATGGTCTGGGATTGGTAATCAGAGTAACACTGTGTGGTTGAGACATTGGAAAAACAGTCTATACTCTGAAAGAATGAGAACTGCTCCCATTGAAGCTCAGGCTGGATAGAAAAGCTGCAAGAAGGCCCAGACAGGTTTACAGTTTAGGCACTCACATTCAAATCCTCGGAGAGGGCACAGGCCTCCACCACCTCCTCATACAGCCTGGCATCATATTCCCGCCCAAAAAGGATATTCTCACGGATAGTGGTAAACTGTATCCAAGGCTCCTGTGTGGCCAGACCAAATCCTTGCTCCAGGTCACAAATATACACTCGCCCACCTTGTCTGAAAGCACACCAGAAATGGGTGGAAAGGGCAACAAAGGAAAACTGTTGGCAGATCAATATGGCCTACAAACAGGGATAGCACCGGACAGTCCCCACCTGCCATGGCATGGAAGGACCAGGCAGGGAGAAGTCTTTAGGCTACTTACTTTGTGAGCTCTCCAGTGATGGCTGCAAGCAGAGAGCTTTTGCCAGAGCCAACCTTCCCAACAACCCCTAGGAGCATCCCCTGCAAAGGGAAATGAAAAGAAGCAACCTGATGTGCTAATACAAGGTAGCTTGTCCAGTTTTCCTGAGCCACACGTAGCTTGTAAGGAAGCTGACTGCTAGGACTGTCTCACAGGTTCAGCAGTGGAGCTGGGTACAGTTGTTGAGTGAATCAGATTCCTGATATGTGACAGGACACAAATTTGCAAAAAGTGTTAACTCTAGAGCCCTGCTCTGTTCCCTGTCCAATCCTCTTCTGCAGTGATAGTAGAAAGCAAAGGGAACTGGTTCATCTTGTCTGTAAGCCATGCCTGGATGTCCTCTAGCACCCTTCAGCTCTGAGACGTGATATGTGTCCTGTGCCTCTTGACTAAGAGATTTTGATGCACGGCTCCTAAGATGAGGAAAACATGCAAATATGCCACCTCTGCTCCATTATTTGGCTTCTTTACTGTCATTCTTCCGTGTTATCTCCTGTGTCCTTGCTCACCTTTCTCACTGACAAGTCCTCAATGTGCAGTTGTAGAGTGCCTGTGGATAAGGGCTGCCTGGTGCTTTCCTCCTCAACCGGCACCCATGAGAAGGCTGCACATTGCATCTCCATGGCAGTAGCAGTATCTGAAGGGCCATCTGCAAGTGAAAAGCAGCACAGCATTGCACAGCTCCGAAAAGGCCAGAAAATTAAAGGCACCTGGCATCACAAATACTATCAGCTTTGTTCCCAAATGCATGAGACCACAGACATGGCACTGCTATGATGCCCCTGACCCAACCACAGAATGAGACTCTTGCCTGTTGACTTGCCCTTAAACTTACATCTCCCTTCCTCCAACCCTCCTGTCTCCAGCTCCCACCAGACACACATAGCTGTCAAGGAGACACTGTAAGGATATAAACCTGGTTTTATTATTGCTGAAGAATGGCAGGGAGCTGGCAAAAGGCAATGAAGGAAGGAAAGGGAGCTGAGATGGGCTGAGGAGAGGGGCAGCCACTCAAGCCTTTCTGCCCAGCTAAGCCAAGTTCGTTGATGGCTTCAGTGCCAGAAGAGCTTTGGTCAGATAACAGAGCAGCTTCTCCTGGGACACTAATGGCAGGGCTCTGTGGGGACAAGCAGTGGCTTATGCTTGGTAAAGTGGAATGTTACAGCCTTGTCTCATGTTTTCCACAGAAATGAAGTGTATTCACTCTGCCTCTGACAACATCTTGAATCACAGGGTGACAGCCAGCTGGCCTCCAGTACTGTCCCTGGGCCTCACACCTCAGCTCCCTGCTCTGAATGTCCACTGTCTAGGGTCCCAAGCCTGGCAGCTTCCTTCACCATTACCTAGGGCATAATAAGCTTCCAGGTCCTGGTCCATGAGTTCAAGGAAACGTTGGATTCGATCCAGGGAAACTTTGGCTTCCAAGGTCCCATACAACACCCATGGGAAGCTGTTGAGGGGTAGAATGAGCATCCCAACAAGGGCCAATGCTGTGAACACCTGCATGGGTAAGCAAACAGCCATGAGTTGGAACCAGTACCACCCTTGCATCTTGTATCCTCCCTACAGCTTCACCAGGGAGAGCCTGCCGAGTCGTGGGGAGTCACAAGTTGGATTCATTTCCCAGAGAAGATGCCTCAGGACTGCAGCCCCACTGTAGACTGTGCTCTGCACAAGACAAGTTTGGATCTCTCCCTACCAATTACGCACCTTTGTGGCAGTAAGCTGGTGACCCAAAAGAGCATAGGTGACGAAGATGGCAATGGAGATAACAACAGGCAGTGCTGCCCACAGGTACACGCACACTGCATCCAGGTAACTCATGGCCCGTAACTTCTGCAGCTCTTTAGCCCGGCAGGCATTTATCCTGGTGCCAAAATGCTTCTCCCAGGCGTAATACTTGATGACACGAATGCCAGATAGGAACTCTGTCATTAGCTGCAGGCAGTGAGGAAAAACACATCAAGCAAACAGTGCCTGCCTATGCACCAAATACCAGGCACCTGGACTGTGGCCAGGTGTGCAATTGTCTCCTGCTAAGGGTCAGGCTAGAGATATCAGGAACCATTTATTGCTAACAAAGACTTAAACTCAAGTGGCAGCTACTGGGAGCTTTGTGCTCCCTCATTCCACCAGCTTCTTCAGCCACCCATGCTGTGTACGACTCAGGAAAAGGCAAAATATTACACCACTTTCCAACTGAAAGATGTGCAACACAGGTGAAGGGATATGTGGAATTAATGGCTCCAATTGGGATACCATTTACCTGTATAGATCTGACAGTATCTTAAGATAACAACACCTGACTCTCAGGCCTGGTGCTGCCCTGAGAGTTAGTCTGTATCCAGAGCCTGGCTGGCTCACTTCTAGCAACTCTGGTGTCCCTGGAGGATGCAGTCCTCTCATTTCTGCTCTCAGGTCAACATGTTCAGAGTAATGTGACGTGTTGGTGCCCAACATGAAAGAAAACTAACGAGAGAGTTGACTCAGAAAACCAGTCTTATAATATTTGGAGAAAGTCCAGCATAATCACATACAACTAGATCACCTTCTGTTGGGAAAATGAATATTTTTAAAGCTCCCAACAGTTCTGACATCGAGTTGACTTAACGTTTCATGCTTCCAAAGCGTGATAGAAATTGTGAGTGAAACCAGTGTCCCCTCAGAGATACAATGCTAAAAAGTGGTAATCAAATGCTTGACAAGTTAGGTGGCACTGCAAATATGTGAAAAACAGTGGAAAAGTTGACTTAAGAGTGCCAAGCTTGAAGCGATATAAAATTACATCTATAATCATTGCCTTTGTCCAGACTGCAAGCCACTTAACCATTCATGGTGTTACTGGATCAATAGTATGGAAGCATCTCTAGAGGAAGCAATTGGGAGTCCTACCTTAACTACTACACACAGAAAAGAAACTTGCAAGGGAACCTGAATTAGCCCAGGGGGCAAGACAAGCATTAGAGGTTCACTATCTTATGGGTAGTGAAACTGTGTCACCCTGGAACACTTTTGCACTAAGTGTCTGTGTATGTGTGTATGTGTGTGTGTGTGTGTGTGTGTGTGTGTGTGTGTGTGTGTGCGCCCCCCCTGGCATTTTCCCCAACAGCTGTGATTCAATTAATTTGCCTTGGATCATGACAAGTGGCCAAAAAGCCAACATTATGAGATAAACAGGGAAAAATACAGCAATAAAATCAGAGAGCCAGTAACTGCCCCTCACCTTGACCCGTGTGTCCTTGTGTTTCAGCATCTCCTTGCTGTTCATCATGATGTAGTTAGCTAAGATCTTGTTGATGGGCACAAGCAGCAGTGACAGGATCAAGCCTCCCAGAAAGGCTACCCCCACCTGCTGGTAGAGGAGGTAGAGGGTAATGGCAAACTGGAAAGGCAGGCTCCACACCTCATGAAAACTGAGGCAGAAGTTGACCAATCGATCGGTGTCCGTGCTCATGAAGTTGACAATTTCCCCCACAGTGAAGCGGCTGAGGCTGGTGCTGCTGACACGCAGAGCCTTGCGGTAGATGGCAGAGATGAGGGCAGCCCGTACCATCAGTGTCACCTTGTTCATCTCATAGCTGAACTGGTTCCGTAAGAGAGCGCTCAGGAAGGAGCCAGCAAAGAGCCCAAGGGCATAGAGCACCCCATGGCTCAGGGGCTCCTGCCGTGACTCCATGAAGTTCACCAGCAAGTTCAGAAGCAGAGGACCTGAAAAACCCAGCAGGTTGCCAGCCAGCTTGAGAAGTCCAAGGGAGTAGAAACGAAGCCCAAAGGCCGCATGAAGGACTGAGAAGAGTCGCACGGCCTTCTGGGCACAGCGCGAGCTGTCCGGAGCATTGCTACTCCCATCACCTCCAGCAAGGATTGGGCTGGTAAGAGACACTGTCTCCTCCTCTACGTGATGCAGAGCTGCCTTCTTCTGCCAGCAGAAGTAAAACCGATCACAGACCGTGGCAGCCTGGAGCTGGCGAGGAAGCACATAGACATCCTGTGGCCGGTTCAGCTTCCCCTGATAGCCACGCTTCATAAGAGGGTTCATCCAAATGTAAAAGAAGCGCGAGAGCCAGCTCTCACCATCTTCTGCCACTGTCTGCTCATCAAGCACTGGGATTCCTGGCTCTGAGGTGAGCTGGTCTTGTTGCCAGGAGCTATTGATGGAGAGGAAGTCTTGCCTGCCAGCGGTTGGGAAGAGGCAGCTGACCATATAGGCAAGCAGAGATGCCAGCTGCAGACAGAGAATGGCGAACCTGGAGGAGGCAGCAGGATGGGAAGGAGACCAAGCTGTCCCACTTTGGCAGTACCACACCAGTGTGATGATGAAAGAAGGTAGGGGTAAGAGAGTGAGGAGAGCCAGGGCCACAGGGCCCCTGGTAGGGCCGTGAGTGGACCTGCAGAGCATGAGAAGAGCGAGACCATGCACAAGCCATGTCAGGGCAGCAGTGCCATTGGCCAGCACTTCCAGGTACACGGGGCCCAGCTCCTGCTGGGAAATGGTGGCTGGGATGGTATCAGCAAGGAACAGGCCAGCAAGTAAGAAGGACGTGGCGATTCTGCATCCCCAGCCTGACCTGCAAGGCACACCAGAGCCAGACCTTGAGGAAGAAAGAGCAGTGAAAAAAATTACAGTTGAAATTCCACCACCTCTCAGTCTGTACTATCTTTTCTTTCTTTCCTCTTTCCCTTGTTTATGTATTCACTCTTACTTAACCTCCTGGATTTGTAACTTTTTCTGACTGTAAGCATTGCTAAACTGCATTAGGTCAATATAGCCCAGACTCTGATCAATACCAGAGATTCAGATGCTATCAAAGAATAGCCTTTCTCTAGAGAAATTTCTTTGCAAACTGTGATGTTTTGTGGTCAAATCAGGCTCCAATCCTTAAGAATTAACACCAAAGAAGTATATTTAACCTCTTCAATACAAATTCTGGATGATCAAATTCTCTGTGTCGCATTTTTGATTTTTGATTTCCTTTCCTGTGTGATATGTTGTCTAAAAACATTATTTTTATCACTGTTGGTTTCAGTGGTGCTGTGTACGTAAAGTCTATAACCTGCTGTCCAACAAAACATTTCATTATCACTTGGTTCATTATCATTTGTGGCCTTTCAATATCACTGAACACTACCATGTTTAAAAATTTCAGAAGAGGATAAACAGCAAAGCAATTTTTGGTTTTTCGGAACCCCTTATTACCTTATATACATCTTCTATGCCACATTGCATTTATATCCTCTCCTGGAATACTCCCGGTTTTCCCAATCCTCATTCACTGCAATTATTTTTAATTACTTTCTGTGATTTTACGCTTACTATTCCCTCTGTTCTTTCTGGATTCCTTTCTGTACACCATATTCTGAATTAGGACAGATGCTGACAAATATATTAGCATAATATTTTGCCCTTCTCTAGATACATATTCAGCACATTACAGGGAAGTATAATTTTCATCCTTTCCACCCCACCTCCAGTCCCACATAATAATCAAGAGCTAGACAAGTCAGTTGTCATACCTTGGAGTGCCAAGGAAGCAGGCACTGACCACTGCAAGGATCACATGAGGGATCACATTTAATGTCAGCTGGTTAAAGCAATGGCCAACGCTGCCATGGACCCACACGGGGAGTGGATCTTCTGGACTGGTCCCACACAAACCAGCCAGGATGCTCTCCATCCTTTGCTGGTAATTCAGCGTGAGAGACAGGAGGTCCTAGGGTAAAGAGAAAAACAGCATGAGGTACAGGAGGAGAACTACAGCCCCAGCCCAAGTAGGACTGTGCTAAGAAATTAACAAAGAGCTAGAAGCAATTTCCTGGGTCATAGTCCACACCCTGCCATTCTGCACTTGCTATCATATAATCTACTTCACAAAACAATCAAGCTTCAGTTTAAAATAAATTACATTAATCATTCCCCTAAGTCACCCTGGGACCTCAATGCTCTGTGAATTGGAAGCTTTCTGCTTATTTTCAGGCTGATTTTTTCTCCCGTGACAGGTTTATCCTCTGAAACTAGTATAAGGAAGTATTTGCCTTTCTATTGATCAGTGTCAAAAATACTCTGAGCTGCTTAAACAATAACCTATCCAGTATATCTCCACGTTCTCAACACTTCCCACACCGGTACTCCTTAAGACAGCGTGTAACATTAAACACCCTCCGCATGGCAGGAGAGGCTGCAGATGTCCATCCTGAAAAGCAGGCGGTACCTCCAACCTGCACCGGACTAGGTAACCAGTCCTCTTTGAATGCCGCCCCGCGGACCGAGGCACACCTGGGCAGGCTCGGCTTTACAGTGATTTCTGCTCGCCCCAGCCCGCCTCACCTCCAGCCCGAGCCCGGCTGACCGCCACGGGCTGGGCACGGGGGGCACTGCGGCTCCAGGGCCGGGGAACGCGGCCCCGCCACGCCGGGCCCCCCGGCGCAGCCCTGGGCCAGAGCCAGCCCGGGAACCGGCTCGCCGGGCCAGGGGGCAGGCGGAGTGGCCGCCACGTGCCCGGGGCGGGCGGGACCCCCGGCTCCTCCCGCACCCCCCGCAGCCCGGCCCGGCCCGGCCCCGCCGTACCTCGGCTCAGCGCCGCGCCCGCCCCGCGCGCCCCCTGCGGGCCCGGAGGACGCGCCGCAGCCGGGGCGGGCGCCGGGCAGGGATTCGGTCAGGAGCGGGAGGCCGAGATAAGGAGGAGAAGCAAACGAATTCAACGTGCACACCTCGTTCTTCTGGTTAAAAAACCGCCAAACCTCAAACTAAAAATCAGTCCCCAGTCATAAAAAAAAAGTGATTTCCCACAAAATTCCCCTAGTTCCCTCCTGGTGATCTTATCCCTCCCCTCCTTTTCCTGTCATGTTTAGTTTTTACACCAACAGACACCAGAGGCACATTTCAGAGTTGCAGAGTCACTGTGTCGACCAGCACAGGAATATTTATGGACTGCTTTAGTGTCCAAATGTCACCACCGGCAGGTATAGCCCAGGCAGTACTTCTGCAGGTATAAATGTGCTTTCAAAGGTACAGCGTTCTCTGCTCGTGGCAGATGACATTACTACAAGAGCACTTTGCCAACAACAGGCCTCGTGCAGTAACAGCTGTGCACAGCAAGACCATGACGTTAACCTGACACAACCATCTGGATAATACAAGCTAAAATTTCTATTCCATCTCACCTCTATTTTGTGTTCAGTGGCTATGCCTGTCTGGAGCATAAACACACCCATGCAAGCAGCAACCCAGAAGATGCTCAAATCTTTACTATAAGAGTATGTTGCATTGAGGGGGTGAGTGAATGCTCAACCTTCCACTGAGAGAAAACAAAATGGAGAGGACCTCCAGCCTCATCCCCTCTGGACTATTATTCAGTAACGGGAGTGTGCTGTAAACATCATCACACCACCTGGCAATTTCAGCTGCTACTGGTGAGTTTTATAGCAGTTCTTAATGCTTCCCTCAGCATTAAGAACTGGAAGGATTAGTTTCTTAATCCTTCCCTCAGTACTCTCTTGCTAGGGAAAACAAGCATACCCCTGTAAATAACTCATCACTGGTAGAAAAGTTTACTTTCAACATGCAGCTCATCAGAGATATAATAAAGCATACTCTGAGTTTAGAAGTGTTATCAGTGGGGTGCTGAGGAAGGGTAATATCAGTAGCATTCAGGTCTGAGACAACAGAACAATCTGGCTGAGGGAGTGTGGAACAGCAGAGAAGAGCTTAGAGGCCACAGTACCCTCTAAATATAGTTAGAATTGAAAGAAGCAGAAGAGTGCATTTTTTGTCTCTTTCTCTTTCTATATATATATGTATCTTTGTTTAATTGTTGTCTTTTCTCACATCCCTGAAAACAATCTTTGCCTGTGTGTCCAAGTTGCAAGGCTGCCTTTCTGTGACCAAGTTGGATGCTGATACTGTACACTGTGCGTATTTGGCCAGTCTGCTCTTTTTCCCCACAGGTCATCCAAAGGTTTCTAGACTTAACTTTCTTGAAGAGGCTGTGAAGGCAGCAAACTCTCAAAACAGCAAATAGTGGATGTGTGAGGCTGGAGCACTGAGCTGCACACAAGCAAATCTGATTTCATATTTCATATTTCATGGTTCTGATGTCTTACATATTTCCAAAGGAAAACAAAACAACAACAAAATCAAAAAACTTCAACCAAACAACCACTTTCCCTGTCTTAATAAGATACTAGAGAAGTTCTCAGGTATCAACAAAGACCATCCTTTCTCCCTTGAACTAATCACTCTAAGAGCTTTTTCATTCAGCTACATTGTGTTCTAGCATTCTCTTTTTTTCTGCTTGCTCATCTCTCTTAACTGCTTGAAGTTCAAAAACATGAACTTTTCCATTTCAACCAAAAGACGGACAGCTTTCTGATGCCACAGATTCCTTTTGGTACAAAAAGCATTACCTACACTCATATGGGAAAACAAACACCAAGAAGGTATTAAAAAAGGAACCCTAGAATACCAATCCACCCTAACTGTTCTGGAATCTGCCTGTACATTTAAGTACACTTAAATAGGAGCATAGCAAGAATCTAAATAGATGTTCCTCCTTTTCGGCTTACTTTTGGCTATTTCTCCTTCTCGTGAATATTGCTGCCCATGACAGTTACTGCTATGTATTTGATTGATTTAAGATGTGTGCCATGGAATACAGGCTTGTGGCTACATTGTTTACAATGTACCTTGCACGCTATAAATAATCACACACCTGACATTTATTAAAAAATCAGAGCCTTCAAAATGGAAAAAAAACCCCATCAACATCAGGTTTAATTTAATCCACCTCCATAGGCCACACAGGCCAGATTTTATTAACTGTCTATTATCCAGAGTTTAATGCTGTAGATTGATATAGCCACAGTGAGGAAGTGCTATCTGCCAAAGGGAGACTGCCTCCCCCCCTTCTCTTACAAGTTCGTTTTGTAACAGATTACTTACTACCCCTCCCAGACTCAGGGAATAAGTGTAGGCTGCATGGTGGTTCCACTTCCCAGCTAAAAGTAAATATTGAGCTGAAACAGAAGCCAGCCTAGACAAGCGTTAAATTCAGAAATATCAACCTTGTAATTACAGATGTAAAAATCTCTGAAAGCAACTGTTTAGATGCATTTTTTGTGCTCCCAGCCAGGGCTCTGGTATCAGCTGAACCATCCTCAAACTCCCCGATGTCATGACTAAGGAAGGCTTGATTACTCGGCTCAGTCCAAAATTTTTCATGAGCAGGCTGGTTTGCCTGGACCTGAAGACACAAGATACATATTGTGCCCTGTTTTCCAGGTAAAAAGTAATGCTAAGTTCAGAAGACAGGAATATCTTCCACCACATCTTCTCACGAGAACACCAATTTTGTCATAAAACCACAGAAATTGTCTTTGTTCTTACTCATAGCCTGTCCATTTAACATTACAGGGAGTGCTGCATGGTTGTCTCATGCCCCTGGATCTAGTCTTGACTCAGACATAAGAAGGTAAGAAATTATAATTAAGGTTTTACATTTTTCTCTGTTACTGTTTTGCTTCTTAAACCCAATGGTCCAACCTGAATTAACTTAAATTCAGATTTCTGATTATTCGTTCATAATGAGCTACCGCAAACTTTTCTCATTCTGTTCTTTTTCAATGCATTTGCCCCCTGACTTTCTCATTCGAGGCCTAATGAGAATTCAGAGATGCCTTATTACCCCAGTATTGCCCTAAGCATCCAGCTAGCTAAAATCCCTTCCCTCCAAGCAGCAGCTAATTGCAAGTTCAACGATGAACTTTAGAATTCCAAAGAGGAGTTTAGGAGCTGTACTTAGAGCAGACTGACTGCAACATCTTTTGTCCAGTGAGAGTCTGGAGCACCAGTCACAGGAGTGTTAGAAAAACCTCTGCAAAGCAGGTAAGGACCTCGCCTGACTTTTTCAATCCCTGAGACAAACTGCACTGCTTCCTCTTCCAAAGGTGTGAAGACTCTCAATTTGCTCTGCACCATCAAGCCCAGATTTCAGTACTGATTTTAGGAATAATTTAACTGAATACCACTGTGGATGCTCAGTCCCTTTAAAAACTTAGCTCAGTAAGGCATGTGATTGAAAGATGACACTGCAGCTAGTTCAAAATGTGCTTATAAATTGCAATTATAAACTGTAATTTTAAAGTGATATTCAATGACAGGGTGCCACAAAATGTTAATGAGCACTAGTTAGTCTCCAACAACTGGCATTTTTTCTCTTCTGAACTCTTTTAACACCACAATATATAGGGTGTTTGCTTTCTTTTTACCATTTCTGCCTTGAGCAGTTTACTTACTGGTGCACAAATAAGATGTTTTAATGAACTTCCAGATTCGTTTTCAGTATCTGGATTCCTTCATCTTCCAATTGCCTCTTAAACCTATGACCACCACAACACCTCCTGTAGATCTCCTTTAGACATAAGGCAAAAGGAAGCTAGAAAAAAAATTCAAGTTCTGGGGGTTTTGCAAATTTTTTAGATGTTAGATGCATAACTGTTATGTAAAACTGATTAAAAAAAAAGAGAATTTGCTTGGTTTCTTGGGTTTGTGGCTTTTTACTCTTGACTGCTTTGAAACCAAACTGTGGTTTAAAACTGACGTAAAGAAAGCAACAGCATGGAAGAGATGTCCAAAACCAAACAACTCCATTTTCTCACTCTTACTAGGCTATTTTTACTTACTTCAGTTGGTGAAACTGAGTGTTGATGCAGACACCTGACTCTAATGCACAAAAACATGGGTTTCCTTTTAATGAAGACACAGAACACATTTGGGATAACAGTATATTCCTTATAGCGATAAACTACTTGGATGCAATCTACATAAAAAAAAGATAGAGGAGAAATTGCTACATACACATCAGTTTTGTAGCTATATTAACGCACAGCTCTGTGCCTCTCCAATTGTCACTGAGCCTGTTGCTTAGGGTCGTGAATTGGAACAGGTTGAGCATGCATTGCCTTCACCTCCATTGTGGTTTGCTCCCAGCAGACTGCTTCTGCGGAGCATCCTCAAACATGAAATTCTTATCCCAGGATACTTGTAATTGAATAAAGGTCACCGATAAACATTGTCAGCCTTTGGACAGAGAGGGAAGGAGTGGACAGTGGTAACAAAAAAATAAGAGTCTTTATATAGCTCGTGCTTATTTTGGCAATTGGTGTAACTGAGCGCATTTCCTGAGCCTGTGCAGTGAGGCACTCAGGAAATGTCAAAGTGAGTCAGTTAAGTTTTAATACAATTGTACTGAACTACTCCTAGCAGAAATACCTTATTATAGTATCAGGCAGACCCCCATCCATCAGCCTACTACTCTTGGTTGCCACAACTTAAAAACAGTATGCTTCAAATGGTGTGTTGTGTTCTA